CTCTTAAATTACCCATGTGACGCTCTTTTCCCAAAAGTAAAGACTTTCTGACAGTCAATTCAACTGAGGAAATAATTTTTGAATAAAATTTTATGTAAAGTTAGCTAATTTGTTTCTTAGTAAACATGGGTAAGAATCCCTTTGAATTAATGAGGGTAAATGAGTGTGGTATTAAATCAGTTTCCAAGAATTTTTTTCTATTCCTCCTCCATTTAAGTATAGAAAAGGGAGAATAGGTACAAAGGCAAAAGCAAATATAAGATTTATATTGTAAAGATAACTAAATTAATAAAATGGAAATACTAGCTTTGAAGAACAATGCTTTTATGTAAAGGATGGCATATTTTTATCCTATTTATTTCAATAAAATATCCTATTTTATTTCTATTTTATCCTATTTATTTCTATTTATCCTATTTATTTCATGACAACTCTACGATGTAGGCAATGCTGGTATTTAGAAACAAGTTGGCTCAGGTTTTTTAAAAAAAAACCCACAAGCCTCTGTCCACATAAACACTGTCAGGGAGTGGGAGAGCCCACTGGCTGAGCCTGGCATCCTGCTCTTACCACTACAGTAGAAGGTTACACTCTATGGGCTAAGCAGCTACAATGTAATGTTTAAGAATTATTTTATCTACTGAAAGAAAGAAAATAAATGAAAAGAAAAGAGAAAAGAGAAAGAAAGGAAAGAAAGGAAAGAAAAGAAAAAAGAAAGAAACATTCTATCTCTTGTTATTTAAAAAACATCTTTGTTTTTGTTATTGGAGTGGTAGAGGTGGAATTAAAACATATAACTAAAATATCTATATCCATTGTTCTTAAAACGACTGTGGTTTGATCTAAGGTTCAATTTTTGTGCCTAGTTTCTTGTTTTAAAAATAGGCTATCTACACTTCATATTTATATAAATATCTATTTGTACATTTTTGGCACAAAAATCGGTCATTACAACATGTTTGGCCTGGAAGAAACTGGCATGCTGGCATTTAACTCAGCCTTGGCGTTGAGAATTCTGACACCTGGAAAAGTTCATTTGAGGCATTAGGGTTCAGAGACAAACTCTAGAAAAGCTAAGACAGGCTTTGGATGAACTGATTTTACTCAATCATAGGAAGAAAAACAACGATAATTGTTAATAATTGCTCTTACTAAACACTAGTAATAAAAGTAAGCCCAGCATCCTCATTCTTAACTGAAAAATTTAAATAATGGTGCCTGTGTGGCAGCTTCACAGGGCTGTTAGACATGAAAGCACTTTGGAAATTGTAAGCAGTGTGATATCATAAGGTAATATATTTTCACTATGAACTCAAATAAAGGTGTGCTAATCTATACTTCTCAGTCCACCAGTACTCTGAGAAAAAGCCAGATCTATTTAGACCTCTGGCCATAATACATTATTTTGGAACTTACCTTTGTATTACGCAGTCCTTAAGGGAAAACAGCCTAGAGTATGCCAACCTTGTGAGTCCTGGCTTCATTATGGACAAAGATGAAATCTCTCTAGAACAGACTGATGAGGTTGGGAGATGTTATCCCAAAATATGGCACCTTGGCATTTGAGGAAATAGTAAAAGCAGGAAGGCCATTCTCATCTTCCCCTTGCCTTTCTCCCTTGACGCAGGTCATAAAAGTTTCATTCAAGAAGCACCCTCCCTACAGGAAGATAAAAGAAATGTCCTCCCTATAGCCAGAAAAAAAAAAAAAATGTCTCTGAAGACATGGGGAGAGGGAGAAGAGTCTGAACAAACAGGCCTTGCTAAGTGCCCCCAGTTTATTACCATTAGATCATACCCTCTTTGTCTAATCCTACTTCTCTGTAACTATTCACTTCATCAAACTTAGCATAAAAATACAAAAATACAAAAATGTTTCTTTGAGTCTGCATTTCTGAAGGTTTCCATGTCGTATAAAACTTACATAAAATAAATTCTCTTATGCTTTTCTCTTGATGACCTGTCTTTTTTTTACAGGTGCTTCAGCCAAGAAACCTAGTGATAGATGAGAAATATCTATTCTCCCTTGCAATATCTAGTATGCACCTCAAATAGGACTCTGCCACAGCTTCCTTCCTTTCTTTTCTATTTTTCAAACATTTAGGGAAAAAAGGCTGGTATGGTAGCTCATGCCTGCAATCCTGGCACTTTGGCAGGCTCAAGCAAGAGGGTAGTTTGAGGCTAGGAGTTCTGAGATCAGCCTGGGCAACATACCAAGAGCCCACCTCTACAAAAAAAATTATTTAAATAATTAGCCAAGCATGGTGGCATGCACCAGTAGTCCCAGCTACTCAGGAAGCTGAGGTGGAAAGATTGTTATTGCTTGAGCCCAGGAGTTCAAGGCTGCAGTGAGGCATGACTGTGCCACTGCACTCCAGTCTGTGTCACAGAGTGAGATCCTATCTCAAAAAAAAAAGAAAAGAAAGAAGTACACAAGATTATCTCTTTCCATGAGTCACCATTTTATCAAGGATAAACTTAAGCCATTTTGCAGACAAGTTATATTGTTAATGTTATTCCATATGGAAAGATCCATAGAGAAACCATTTACTCAGTAACACCCTAGAACCTAAGTGTGTTCTAGAAAGTGTGGGTTGTTGTTGAGCGGGGGTGGGGACGGGGGTTGTCTTTTTATCTACCTACAAAAATCTTTCCCTTATTTTTAAAAAAGAAAGTATATCCCTATAAGGATATGTAATAATGGACTAAAAAAGTTAAAAATCAGTAAATTAGAAAACAACAAACTAGAATTTTTTTTGTATTTTGAAATGGTGTCAAGCTATTTGGATTCAAATGAGAGAAATTAACCAAACACAACAAAAGCCTGATCTAAAGTGAGGAAATTATCAACCAGGCAGGTAAGTTATTGTGACCTTCATCCATCTATGTCTCCAGCTATCCACCTACTTATCCAATAAGTATTGTTGAACCCCTACTATATTCAAAACCCAATGTAAGCACTGAGCATATTAGCATGAATAATAAATCACAGGCCCTGCCTACACAGAACTTAGAGACAAGGAGTAAGCTGAGAAAACTCTGTGTGATGAGAGCTGTGACAGAGTAAGCATCAGGCACCGGAGGAGGTGGGGCCTCCATGGAGAGTTGCTCAGGCTGTGCACTGTGCACAAACAGTCTGTGAGAACAACTTTCCTGGTGTCATGTGACCCTAGCTCTGCGGGAACACAGTGGGAGGGATGAGGAGGGCTTCCTGGAAGAAGCCTTGCCTTCTTTAGAAACAACTATGATCTAATGGTAATAAACTGGGGGCACTTAGTAAGGCCTGTTTGTTCAGATTCTTCCCTCTGTCCCCATGTCTTCAGAGATAAGGACATTTCTTTCCTCTGGCTATACAGAGGGCACTTCTTGAATGAAGGTTTTATGATCTGCTTCAAGGGAGAAAGGCAGGGGGAAGATGAGAATGACCTTCCTGCTTTTGCCATTTTCTCAAATGCCGAGGCACCATATTTTGGGGTAGCATGTCCCAACCTCATCAATCTGTTCTAGAGAGATTTCACCTTTGTCCACAATGAAGCCAGGAATAACAGGGTTGGCATACTCTAGGCTGTTTTCCCTTAGGGACTGTGTAACACAAACGTAAGTCCCAAAATAATGTATTATGGCCAGAGGTCTAAATAGATCTGGCTTTTTCCCAGAGCACTGGTGGACAGAGTATAGAGAAGTGGATAGTTCTCCACTATCAAAAGAGATGTAGTGGAGATGTAAAAAATCTGAAAGTAGTTCTCAGCCCAGGAGATGGAGGGAAGCAATAAGAAAAGAGATGCAGCATTACAGGGCTGGAGCTCAGGATGGGAGGTAGCCATAGCAAGGAGGAAGAGGGAGAGCTGGTGATCAGGATCGTATTCAGCTTTCTAACCTGTCAACTGATGATGTCCCAAGAAGAACAGGGGATATGAGAAGGGCAGGTTTATAGGGAAAGGTGGGATCTAAGTTTCAAATTTTTGAGCCCAAGGTACTCATTCAAATTTAGGAGGCAAGTGGATATCCAGAAATCTACAGTCAACAACAGAGACTGAAACCATGAGTTCAGATGACATCACCCAGATGGACAATAAAAAACTTAAATGGGTCTGACGGGAAAACTGAAAGGACACTGCTGGAGAGGTGGGTGGAAAAGAAAGGAGTGTGATGACTCAGAGATCAACGGGAAATCTCCTGTTGGGAATGACAGAGCTTTCTGTGTCAAGGAACTGCTGAAACATCAAGTAAGATGACGGACAGCTGAAAAGAGTCCACGGGATTTGGTCTGGAGTAACCTTGGGAGGGTGGTTTCAAGGGTGGGTAGATACAGAAGGAAGATTTTGGTAAATTGTGGAATGACAGGAAGGTGAAGAAGAGAGGCAGTAGAGACAGTTGGCACAGGCGAACTTTTTTAATGTCTTTATAAAGGAGAGAAAAGACATTAACCAGAGAGAGACACGGGTAAACTACAATAAGGTTCATCAGCACACACAATTGAGTCTTCTACTGGAGTAGAAAGAGCAGGATGTCAAGAATCACACACCGGGGCTCCCACTTAGGGCTCTTCTCCAACACTTCAGTTACATCATTTTGTGGACGGGGGAATGCATGTGTGCACTCCAGAATCAAACAATTTTTAATTACCAATTAATTCTTTTGCTACTTGTATCTTTTTTGCCCTGACACTGTAAAGTGTTAGAGACATTTATCTAGAATAAGGATTTCCTACCCTAGATAATCCTTATCTATCTAAGGATTTCCAAGGACAGCTCTGTTCTGATTGGAAATTTTACAGCATTGTCTTCTCCACAATTATGTTGTTTTATTTAAGTGACACAATCTGTTCATTCTCCAAAATTACTGAGCACCAAGTTGAAATACTTTGTATATGTCATGCAAAGAGGTTCTAGTCTCCTCAACCATAGCTTTCATGTTTGTGCAAAGCACTTTAGCAAGACCCTCCAAGTTTCCCCAGAGAAGAAAAGGGTGTGAGAGATGGGGCCTCTCCAGTCCACCTACCGCTGCTTGGGTGGGTTGCTGCTTCTTATTCCTTTTTGGCCTTAACTTGGTAAAGTGTTCCAGCTTCTTCCCCTCTTCAGAGGGCAACTCAGAGATAAATCCCGAGCTCCGCTTCTCCTGTCTGAGGGATGGGAAGGGCGGGTCTTCGATGTGAATTGGTACCTCTTCCAGCGCTTTATCTAGATCAAACTCCATTTCTAAAATTAAAAACAAAACAAAACAAAACAAAACAAAAAAACAGCCCAAGGCCGAAGCTTAATGAATGGAGATGGATAAACAAATTCCTAAAACTAATTTTAAGTCTAGCATAGAATAGCAAACACCCATTCACAGATCACTTAACTCTTTCTCAATAATTACCCATGCAGTGCATCCATAAGGAACATCCCTAAAATGGTCTAAGGTCTTGCTGAGGGTGCTTCACGGTGCCAAGAAAATGACTGGCAGCAGCAAAACACTTACCAAAAGCCCTAGAAACAGGCCGCAGCATTCGGCTATGGATACTCTTCCTTTTGGATTTAGGGGTCATCTAGAAATGAAATAATAATAATTTAAAAAAAACAGGTAGCCACAAAAACTCGCCTTTCAAACTTCTGAAACATTCTGGATCGATTGTTTAACTCAGTAGTTGTTTCTTTGCTTTAGAGGTTGATTGAAAGCCTGACTGAAAAGACCAAACTATTTCTAAATGTTTACAGTTTCTCAAATGATACAGCTAACCTCTTTCTTTTGTTCCCCCATCCCTAACCAGTTGAATTCCACTTACATAGCTGAAAAGAACAATGAATGAATTTAATTACAAGCTGTATAAGAGGATGTTAAAATGGATACAAAAATAAAAATCAAAGACTGTAAAAATCAGTCACGAAAAACTGAAAACACTACTATTCACTGATCACTCTCACAGTAACATCAGTGTAAGCAACCCTGACCTCTTTCTGTGTCACGTCAATGATTTAAGCAGTTTCACTCTCTCGTTTCACATCTTGCCCCCAAGATTTTGATCTTTACATCATGGGCAAAGACCAGGAAAAGGTGCTAGGATTCAAAAATTTGTATCTGTTGGCACTTCTCAGTGAAATGTCTTTGATCCTGTCAATCCTCTAAAAAATGAAACCCAAACTCAAATCAAGGGCTGAAACTGAAGAGCACTTTGCTAGTACTGGTGTCAACTGTTTATGGTGCAAAGCCAACCCTCAGAAAGGCACTATCTTCTCCCTCAATAGGATCACACAAATGTCAAAGATGGAGGGAAGCTTTGCCGTCACCTACAGAAATCAACTCCAAGGATGAAATCGAGTTACAGAGGTGAAAAAGGCTAACATTCATGTTGTCAGAAGGAGCAGAGCCATGGACAGAACCCAGTGAGGAGGGTCAGGCCAGCATCCTTCCTGCCACATAATTCATGACCCACACACAGATGAATGGATGTTAGGGATGTTTTCACTGGTTTGATATCAGGAAATTGGTATGTGTATAAACTAGGAGGTAACGTAACTGAAAGAACTTAGTTTGCATACTTTCATTTCATTCAATAGGTTTTCATCTAATGCTTCCTCAAAAAAAAAAAATCTACATGATGGAAAAACATTCTTTAGCTCCAAGGAGAAACTGGCTGATACTGATATTTAAAGCAAACAAATCTATAGTTTTGACAATTATGTCAGTTTTAATAATAATATCGTTTTGCTATTATGTATTGTCGAGAGAAAAGGGAGAGAAAAAAATGATTAGCAATTGTATTGAAATTCAGACTTGTTTTCCTAAAATACAAAATGAAACTTGCTGATTTGACTTTTTTTAGGTTTCATTAAAGGCAGACAATCTGAGAAAAAGCTATTTATAAAGTAACAGGCTTTGCGGGTTCAATAAAAACTCAGCTAACCCAATGCAAATGGAAAGGAATCCAGTTTAAGGCAGTTCTCCCCAAAGTTAGCCATGCAGTTGGCTGAAGAAGTTAGTGGCCTGCCTGGTCTATTCACAAGTGAAATCTCTGAAAATAATTCTCAGGAGATACAAGCTATCAAAACATATGCTGTGTTTGGTTGCAACAAGTTCTTCAGTATTCTATCCATCTTATGCACAACCGTGGTAGGTAAAATAATCAAGAAGTAGCTCCAGATATATTTTTTAGCCAATTTCATTTAGATTGTCACAAATAAAGAGGAAAGATGTTTAAAAATGCATGGACTGAAGATGTCTTTTTTTTATTTCCCTGACTCTTGATTAGATTTTACAGAAAGTGTATTCATGAGCAAAAATAGTCTAGTTTAAGTTTCCATATCATGAAAGCCTTTATGATACCAAATACATGTAAAACATAAAAATTATATTGCAAATATATTACAATTTTAAACATAAAAATATGTACTATATATAAAATAAATGACATAATATATAATATGTACAGAAAGAATCACATTTACAAACTCATGTCCATCTGTGAACAGGCTATTCAGCTTAATTTCATTTCATAGACATAATTAAGAAACACACAAAATCATCAGGATAATTTGACGGTTGATATCACTCAAAGGGGAGCTAGTTTTCTCCTCTTGGTATTGTTTTCCAATGCTTTAAAGCCCAATATAGAAAGCTTGAATATCAGAAAAACTCACTTCTAATGTATTTCACTTGCTTTCCTTTACTTTGTGTGCTTTTTACAAGGGTAAGTAACTTCTAATTACATTTCCCATAAAACTATACCCATCATATCTTTTAGTTCTGAAGTTCTGGCACAGAGTCAATGGTCTTTTGTTAAAATAGAATTTGTAATCAGGCTAGTTTCTACAATTGGTATTAAGAAGGTAACCCAGCTTCTATATCTTTCCCTCATGGGATTTAAGTGTGACAACAGAGAAAAAAAATCAATCTCATTTCTCTCACATTTTTATTGCTTTTCTTTGGAAGTAATTCTTCCTTAGTTTTACAGAAAATGTGGACTTCCTTAATCTTATTGGCTTATTCCTACAATGCCATTACATATAAACCTAAAGCAAGAGGAAATATAAAAACGTACTATAATTATCCACCTAAGGGTATATTTAGGAGCAAATATTTAATGTTTGTCTAGAAATTTGGTTTATTTGAACTCCTTCCTCCTCCTCTCCACAACTGTTGGGTTGTTGAATTACATCCCAGAAAAAGAAAACAATCTGACTTTACCATCTTCTTTAACACGGTTAGCTCTCTTCCCTTTTGGTACCAAAATGAAAGGTCAATTTTTTCAAACTGTTTCTTAGTCCTTATTGACCTTTCCCTGACATCTGTTAATGCCTAAGTATTTTCTGAGTCAGAGAAATCACAAACTGTTCATCAGATGAAGGGGGTCAACATTTGAAAAAGAAGAGGTACATACTGCAAACGGACCTCTCATCAATCAATGGTTAACACTGTCAACTTGAGGCCTAGACAAAATTAACTTATCTTAAAAAATGAATCTTGTAAGCAATAAGGTATAATTTTCAATACCCATATCCTAAAGAAATATGAGGAAAAATGTGTTAAACCCTTATTTTAAATGTAATTTTAGCAGGAAAATCTTAAACACAGACTTCTTTCTTGTCCTAACATCACAAATCATCAATAAATCCTCACTGTGGCAGACACTGTGAACAAAAAGGCCATAACTCTATTTTCTGAGAATCCAAAAGCATCAATGTCTACATTACTCTGAAATTGTACTCATTTGATCAAATTTTTATAATAAATTTTAAACTATTCTGCACATAGCTCAATTGAGATATGTCTACTTTTACTACAAGTTAAAGACTAATCTTGGAACCTTACAAATAACATAACCTTTTTCTTCCTGTCAAACCCACTTTTAACATGTAATTCCTAGACACGCTTTTTTTAAAAATGACAGTCAGATTGCTTATGTCACTATAAAAATATAAAGAGATGCTTTGTTTTTGTCACCATTTGCTCAAAAAATAATAAATAACACTCTCATTCCAAGCTCAAGAATCCATAATTACTTCCCCCTCACCACCAAGACTGTAGAAAGAAAAAAAAATCATAACAATACCAGTTGAGAAGAAGATTAGGAAAGTTCTTCTAATATAAGAAGCAAATTATAACATCGATTTTCTACAACCCTGGGCCCAAAACAAGTAATATGACAAGAATCAGGAAAAAACCTTAAAAGTAATGTTATTATTATTATTATTATTACATGAGTGGAATAAGCACTTGTCTCCTCTTGAATGTTTGTATCCTCTTCATCAACACTCTGCTTGCTTTCAGACACATGGCTGGAGATATTTTAAATTCATCGCCTGTTTTGCTAGCTGAACCATCTTGTAAAATCCAATCTTGTCTCTAAATTGTTGCCTATTTCATTCAGGATCTGCAGATGGACGACGACACTACAGTCTCCTGGGAGACCAGCCAGGCAGCACAGAAGCAAATGGAGCACAAGAATATAAAGTAGTAGAGCCAGAAACCGCAAAGCCACCAAAAAATACTTACACTTGTACAGCAGAGAGTCTCCATGCAGCAAAAAGAAAGAAAAAAATATGAATGGAAAAGAGATAAAGCAACAGCATTACTAGAAAAGGGGAGGGAGAGGGATACCATTCACAAACAAAGAAACAGAAAAGCTAAAACACATAAAAAGCCTTCATAGCAAAGGAATGAGGCAGGAATGAGGCCAACATATTAATGGCTTAAGACATCCAAACTGGCTTTTTATAAGCAGAAGCACAATTACAGCTTGAAAAATTTCAGAAACGCCTAACCTACAGATATTATTTCTCTCGCTAAATGTGTCAAAGTGATATTTACCAACCCCACAAGGCATTAACCTCATTTGGGGGATAGTGGCTTTATTAGCTCCAAAGCACATAATGGACAAAGCAGAGGATGGTTATTAAAGAACCCCATGCAAGTCCTGGCTCCTGGACCACAGGACCAGTCTCAAGAACTAAGTGGGGACAGTGTATCTGCAGGCATGTACAAGAGTCTCTTCTGGGGCCATTTACATCATTCTGTGCTCACACTGCATTTTAGGAGCAGTATCTTTGAATTCTTTTGCCTCTTTAGTCATTAAAACTTTTCAGGGAAAGATCTGATGCCAGGATTCAGCACAAGTTACCTACCTACAGTGTAATTCAATATTGATGATACCTTATACCTTAGTGGGAACTTCGGTCACCTTACATTTTACATTATATCTCTAAGGAAGTTTTTTCTTTATTTTCTTTCCCTCTCCTTAGATGAAAAAAAAAAATCTCTAAATAATTTTTAAAACTCCATTGGTCATCATTAAATTTTGTTAGGGCATCCTCTTCTTATTCTGAACATTTATAAAAGAATTTTTAAAAACAAAAAAGAAGTCCAGTTATAGAATGTTAGTCTTCGTGAAAGCAAAGTGTCAGGGGTTGAGGCATCCTTTCCAAACCTCCTGAGGAAGGCCACCTACTCCTTCCACCTGGAGCTGGGGCTTTCTTTTTTCCAAGTTCTTTATTTTTCTCATGTCAATTGTTTTCAATATAAAATGGGATAGAAATACAGGGCTCCTCAATTTGTGAATGTAAATGATTTGTGTCTCTTTAAAGTAAAGGCAGTACATAAGTAAAAAGCATTCCCTATAACCATCACCATCACTGGCACCAGTATTACGTGCTTATCAGAAAGGCTTCCACTGGTAAAGTCCTGAAAAATTCTCGTTCTTCACATTTCTGATTTCATACTTGATTAGGCAATTTACTTCAAATGTAACTCATTCTATGACCCATTAAATTAGCATGAAAACATCCTTGCTGGATGAAAGGAGAAAAAGTAAAAATATATTTTCAAATATATTTTCCAGAATTGCCCAAAACAAAGACTCTTGCCCTTTCCCAACACATAGCCCTCAGAAGCATTCTTAAAGGTATGACTATGAACACATACATAAGAGTTACAGTTGATGGTTAAGTCCCACAGATGACTTTTTACTTTCCTTTTCCTTGTGAAAGATTAATTCAACAAGACAAGTAGTCTGTCCCAATTATCTACCTAAAGATCATTGTAAGTGATAGTGAGGAATCTTTCAATTGATTCAACTCCTAAAATGACAGGCGAGCAAAACATGTTCCCATGAAGATGGAAAGCATGGCAACAGACATTTCAACTTTTTGACAGAAGGAAGATCGTTAGTTCATCGCGCTACTCTTGTCCACTTTTTGGAACTCATTTAGGCCACACTGACTTCAACATCCCTCCATCAGGACGAGGGAAGGAGTATGTCTCATGCTCATGGCTTCGGCATCCAAGAACTGGGCTTGAATCCTGAACCTGCCACTTCCTGGGTTATGGGACTTTGACCAATGTTTTTGCAAAGTCAGCTTCCAGTTTTCTAGTTTGTAAAATAAATTGTGAAGATTAAATAAGCTAATAAATACAAAGCGCTTGGCACAGTGTCTGGCAAACAGTGCCAATCAGTGACCTCTCAGTGCTTCAATAATTGGCTGTGATTATGAGAGATTAATATTATCATTTTTAAAATGCTTCTATTCCCAAAGAGAGAGAAGAAAGGAGGGGGACCATTAATAAGAAGCAGATTTATAACAGCAAAAAAGTCAGAACAATCGAAAAGCCAATCAGTAGAAGAATGAATAACTAAAATGAAGTATTTTAAATGAAGAAACATCAGTTAAAAGGAAAAATAAACGCTACATGTAGCAACATGAACAACTCTCAAAATATAATATTGAGTGAAAAAAGCAAGTTTCAAAAAAGATACAAGTGGTACAACGCCATTTATGTAGACTGTAAAACATGCAAAACAATACTATACACTGTTCATGAATACATGTATGTTTGAACACAAAAAACAAACAGGAAGTGTCCAACTGAACTCATGAGAGTGCCTCTGGAGAAAGGGGAAGAAGTGTGAGACTGTTAGTAGTGGTCAAATGATGCTATTACATTATCTTTGATGCCCTGTATTATTCAAGATTCAACAAATGCTACTGAGCACCTACTGTGCATCAGGCATTCTTGGAGAAAGGGGTGGGTCTAGCAGTGAATAAGACAGATGAGCTCTTGCACTCCTAGTGTGTGTGTTCCAGTGTACATTGGCAAAACAAACATTCTAACATGTTAACAGGTGGCTCTTCAGGGTGGTAGGAACACAGGTATTTGGCATTTGTGAGTAATTTTTGTAATTTCTTAGGAATGCCCCAAAAAGTTTATTTAGGAATACTTAAAGAAATCACTCTGGTCATAGCATTGACCGATTATCTGGACTTACACTACTCTGCAGACACTCTAATAGGAGCCTGTCTGAATGACCATAGACTTTCACCACCTTTGCTACCTCCTGATGGGTAACAATGACAAAAACACCAACCAGATCATAATAGCTTGGGGGTGGAAAGTGATCAACTATAACACAGGGAAAGAAACTTTAAAGTTTCTTAAAGTAACTCGGAGTTCTACTGTATGTGTAAGTGTTTGATAAGCATTAGTGCTATTCCGTGGAAGTGTTAAAAAGTGGCTGGCTTCCTGACATTCAGGAACTACGGTTTTCCAGAGACCAAGAACTCGAATTAAATAAAAATTCCAGTGCCACATCCTCCTTCTTCATGTTCTTTATCATGAACCTCACATGTAAGGAATTTTTTTAAAAAATTAATATTAACCTTAATATAATTCACTCTATCAGAAATACACAAATGTTTTGCCAGTCATTTCAGCACCTCCTTTTAATACATAACTGAGATGGAGACATGATGGTCAGAACTGGACAGACTAGGTGAAGTGGGAAAAAGCCAGTTAGTTAGAAAAATAAGGAAATGAAGGGTTTACCTCTAAGTAAAAAAGAAATACGCAAAAAAAAGGATTATTATTATTATTATTATACTTTTTTTTTTTTTTGCTTAGAGGTAAACCCTCCATTTTCTTATTACTGGCAAAAAACTGGCAGAGGTGTCTTTTGGCCACTGTCTCATCAGTCCTCCCTCAGTCTGCAGGGGAAGAAAAAGCAGAAAACCTACAAGAATTTCAACTACAGAGTCACCTCATCAAGTACATTCACTTTAAAAAATGAGTTTAGAATAGAAACCGGAGGCGTGCAGGCAGAGATACATTCTTTTTATCTAATGGCCAACAAATGTACTATAGCATCCTTTCACAAAAGTAATTTTTTTTCATTTTAAATGAAAATGGTTTTCATGTAATATACAGCAGAACACTTTTTGAAACATCTTAAGCAGTGTGTCAAAAACACATGATAGATAAATGGGACTAATTTGGGTGACACAGGGGAATGCCTAGAGAATGACTCAAAGGATTTCCTTTAGGTGCCCATCCTCTTCCTGCTCCCCCTGGTCATCCCTGGGGAAGACAAAATGAACATCTCTTGGGTGAAAAACACAAGCCAGGATTCTGTCTTGTTCACCTCTAGATCCCCAGAGCCCATAGAGGACTTGGCATATAATGGGCCTTCAAGAAGTGTGTGTTTGAATGAATGAACTGAACACTGCTTTAATCCAGTGTGCTCCCCACATGCAAGTTCTATAGACTTGTTTAAAAACAAAATATTACCAGTACTAAACATTGTTACCAAAAAGGGCATCTAGGCACAAAGATAAAATAGTAAGGACATGTTTATTATAAAGAATAGTCCTTTACAGACATTTATTTTCATGAAAAATCTGGCGTATTTTTTCTATTTCTTGTTACACGGACAAAAACTTCCTCATGGACCCTAGTGGTTCATGTATTGATGTCCACCTCTTTATTTTTTTATTTTTTAATTTTGAGACAAGGTCTGGCTCTATCACCTAGACTGGAGTGCAGTGGCTCAATCTCGGCTCACTGTCCAACCTCTGCCTCCTGGGCTTAAGCCATCTGCCCACCCCAGCCTCCTGAGTAGCTGGCACTACAGGTACGTACCACCATGCCCAGCTAATCTTTGTATTTTAGAGACGGGGTTTTGCCTTGTTACCCAGGCTGGTCTCCAATTCCTGAGTTCAAGCGATCCTCCTGCCTTGGCCCCCTAAAGTGCTGGGATTACAGGCATGAGCCACTGCGCCCGGCCATGATGTCCACCTCCCTAAACAATACACTTTTCTTTTTTTCTTTTTTTTTTTTTTTTTGAGACGGAGTCTCGCTCTGTCACCCAGGCTGGAGTGCAGCGGCCGGATCTCAGCTCACTGCAAGCTCCGCCTCCCGGGTTCACGCCATTCTCCTGCCTCAGCCTCCTGAGTAGCTGGGACTACAGGCGCCTGCCACCTCGCCCGGCTAAGTTTTTTTTGTATTTTTAGTAGAGACGGGGTTTCACTGTGTTAGCCAGGATGGTCTCGATCTCCTGACCTTGTGATCCGCCCGTCTCGGCCTCCCAAAGTGCTGGGATTACAGGCTTGAGCCACTGCGCCCGGCCCTAACAATACACTTTTCAAATACACACACCCACTCTTTTTCCCCAACTATTTATTTTTAACATATTCAAATTTAGCAAATTAAAAGGACAAGGATAGTCTAATAAATACAAGTATACT